CTTTGAGAAAGTGAGTGGCATAAGCTGTAAAGTAACAGAAGATGAAACTAGAAGAGGCAAGACATGCACAAAATAAATGTCCAAGTATTCTGGCTTTTCGTCTCACAGGAGAATTGAGAAAACCTAATTCTATGTAGAAACACAAAGTACAGAACAAACCTACACTCTCCAGAGCTGATTAGGTACAACAAACCAATTAACTTCAAATGTTATCCAGTTCTTGAATAGTTTTATGAAATGTCTGTGGCCACTGGGAGGAGGGGAAATGTCAAAAAAAACAAAAAAAAAACTTTCAAGAAAATACTGATGCAAGTGTGTTTGGGATTGTGGGGGTTGTTATGATGAAGTAGAAGTTTTTCTAGAATGGGAGCAAATGGGATGTTTCTCCCAGAAGGAATTGTGAGGAGAGGTCGCCACCTACTGTTGGGATAAATAACTGCCACCATTCAGCCTGTAAGTGTTGCATTAGTTGGATGGAATGGGGTGGATCAGATATTGGGGATGGGAAATGTCATAACACACACACACTTTTCCCATGGAATTTGACTGCTGAGCCTTGGGATTCAAATCCAAATTTCTGGGCATCAAGATTCAAGCAAATTAAGGACAAAGTCCAGTTAGATTCAGTGGAACTTTCAATTAAACTGTTTAGGACAGGGGTCTCAAACTCGCGGCCCGTGGGCCAATTGCCGGGACGGGCGGGGCACGGGGGAGGGGCTCTGCGGCCTTCAAAGCGCCAGCGGCGCCCGGGCCGGCCATGGGATGAGCGGCCCACCACCCAGATGGTGGTGGAATACTTGATGCGGCCTAGCCTCACCCAGACTCTACTTCCAGCGGCCCCCAGTTTGAGTTTGAGACCCCTGGTTTAGGATGAGTTTGTATGACAGACTGAAGTTGAATCCATATTTGCCTAAGTTCTGGGAAAATGTACTATGGAAATACTGAGGTCAGGAATGGGGACACAGGCAGCCAAGCCAGTGCACAAGGGCTGCCCATTTCTTTCTAGGCAGGCAACCTGAATAGAGCCAGTGGGAGATTTAGGATCCAATTCTATGCATATTAGACTGGAAAAAAGTCCCACAGCTCCCAGCATTACCCAGCCCATCATGGGATTTGTGGGACAGTTTCTTTCTAAACATGCATAGAATGGTGTCCTTAAAATTGTTTTAACAATGTAATCCTATGCATTTCCACTTTGAAATTAGCACTATTGAGTGTAATCCAACTTACTCCTACATAATGGTTGAAGAGTATAACCTAAAAACATTTTACTTGATTGTATCATCCTCTCTTTTCCCAAAGGATTAAGAAATTATTTTTAACATGCGTGTATTATTATGAAATGGGCTGTTAATTTAATGCCAAGAGGATTTCCGGACTCTAAATTATACATTCTCTCTCTCTTTCTCACACACAGACACATCCTCCCCCTCTCCCTGCTGCCACTCTGCATATCCACTTAACTTCATAGCTACTGATGAGAGTGGAAGCCAAAACATTAGCCCTAATATATTTTGAAATGTTTCTGTTGTTAGCAATTGTCTGGATCCCATGAATTTGAGTAGCTAAATCAGGATGCTTGCACAAGGAAGGCCTCATCTAGAAGCACCCACGTATGGATCTAATGGCACCTTTGAAATCACCCTGTAACTCTAACAGCAATGGTCTGTGAAGAATGTTTACTCCTCATATCTCTTGCTTCTCTTGCCAGGCTAAAGAAGTGAAGAAGCCTCAGTGTGGGCATTTTGCATTTGGATTGATACCCACCATCTCATTCTGAACCAGTCACCAATTGGATTGCCACTGGGCATGAATGGCTGAAGTCTCCTCTATTTCCCCTGAAACATTTTCCTTACCCCACCCGCTGCCTGTGAATGGAGGTCACCTCTTATGCTTAATCCCAGTCCTCAACACCAGTCTTTCCCTCTTAATCTCCCGGAACAGCTGTGCTGTGATTGCATTGTGGATTATAAAGTACCCATTTTGAGCAAAGAAGCTGCTGACCTGACGGACAGCATTTAATAATCACAGAGGAGCTTGAAGCAAGTGGGAGTTTGAAATGGGGGACATCTGGAAGAACGAGGCTGGAAAAGGAGGAGAAAGAAGTATAAGGGGGACAGGAGGAGTTTGTTATCTTCAATCCTAGCTAGAAGATGCAGGGAAGTCATGACAGTTTCAGAGTTGCACATTTCATGCAGTTTGTGCATTAAACAGCAGCAACGGTAGAAATCTCCAAAAAGGTAATTGTGTTCTTGATGCTATTTCAAAGGTTAATTGTGGTTTTGTAGTGTAATATCCAAGCTGTTGCAGTGGAAAAGAGGCACTCGAAGAAGGAAGAAAATGGGATTTCCTTCCTACCTTCATATCCATTCTTCCTGTCTTCTGTTCTGTGTCCCAGTCTGATTCCTTCTAAGGTTGAGATTACTTCGGGACAACTTTTCTGAAGAATGCCTGTACATGAAAAGCACTGGGAACATGGAATGCAAAACTGCATAGCTCTTGCAAGGAAGATCTATGGCTTGGATGGCATATAATGTTCAGCTCATAGATCTTTCATGAAAACTATGAAAGGCTGTCACAAAGAGGACAGACGGGATCTCTTCTTGATTATCCCAGAGTGCAGAACATGGAATAACGAACTCAAGTTACCACAAGTCAGATTCTGGCTAGATATCAGGAAAAAGTTCTTGACTGTTAGAGCAGTACGACAATGGAACCGATTATTGAGGGAGGTTGTGGGCTCTCCCACACTAGAAGCAGTCAAGATACAATGGGACAGCCATCTGAGAGGGATGGTTTAACTGGGAGTCCTGCACTGAGCAGGGAGTTGGACCTCTTGGCCTTCTGGCCCCTTCCAACTCTACTATTCTACGACTCTGTGGTTTGGAAATGAGTAAGTTGATTTAAGGAAGGAATATTACCTGTCCCCTCTCCCAGCAGGCCCCTATGTCCTTCCCCACTTGGTACAGGAGTCCCCCCGGTTTCTTCAGAAAGTGTGTTGGGGGGGGTGCAGCAGGGAGAATGGGAAATGACATTCTTCTTTTGTGAGCATTCTTAACGTATTTTAGGACCCAAGTCAATTAAGATTTTGCATTTTGGTATTTAGTGAAAGGAAAGAAGCATGTTAATTCACTTTTTCATGCAGACTTACTTACGTTCATATTTTTGAACCAATACATGAACTGAAACTCAGTTATCATTTAAATTTTACAATGTTCCTGAATCAAATATTTGTATGTTGGGGATAATAAATATTTACAAAGTGTAAATATTTATGAAAATAATGTTCATAAATGTATTAAGGAAGCTGCTTGCAAGAATGCATGCATTAGGATAATGTATACACAAAATATGTACAAATTTGCATGCAAACTTTTTCTCCCAAAATTCTCTAAATTCTAAACAAGGTTGGAAAAATCTGAAAATTTGGATTGAGTCAAACTGAACACTGGAAGAAGAGGAATTGAAAATGACAGATTTGTCTGTCTCCAATTTATTGATGTTCAAGTTTAGGGTTATTTTTGCACAGAAGAAACTTTACATTAGGGTTTGCTCTTTTTTGTTTTCCTTTGTCCCCTTCATTTCTTCTGTTCCTTCCCACTTAGGAAAAGACTTGGGATTTTCCCTATAACCTTAACAAAAAATCAAATGGAATGGCTGGGACAATGAACCCTTTTTCTTTTGTAAAGCCAATAATAGCGTCAGTGTGTGTGGTGGATGCTGTTTCAGTCGGTTCTGGATTACCAACTGAATGGAGTGGGGATGGAATGTAGATTATAGTTTAGGAATAGGTATCCGGAAGGGTTTAGGAAGGGTTCCATATGAAAAGAATTGTGTACATAAATAAGACTGTTCTTGCTAACAATTAAGCTGGATATTTATATCCTTCCTTTTATACCTTATAAATATCATCTGTGAAGTGGTCGAGCCTAGCGCATAAAATACATGCTTTAAGACAGCCTTCCCCAGTCTGGGGCCTTCCAGACTGTAATTCCCATCACACTCCACTACTGATGATGATAGGAGGTGTAGTCCAACATTTCCAGGTTTGAGAATCCCCCTCAAAATAAGATTTCCATTAAGAAGGTGGTGCTTCTCTGGACTTCTAGAGAAAGAGAAAGATACACAGGTCATAAATTATGTTTAAGAAATGCAAATGTGCATTGGTGGCACTGTGTATAAACTGTGGAGATTGTTATTATGCTGGATTAATTCAGAAAGGGTAAAGAGGTACAATCTAGTGCATGTAACACAAGGCTGGACACTCAGCACCACCAGACTCCATATCCTGGACATTGTAACTACCGGATCACACTAGCAATCTCATTGGTTAAAGAATGGGTTTCCCCACTGCATGTCATAGTAGGCCTTCGCCCTGTTCAGCCATTAACAATGCATGAGAGGAAATCAGGATTGTGACTGCTGCCTTCGCCCCTCCTTCACAGCCTTGCCCCACCTGGTCCAGCAGGTTTCTAAGTCACAGAAGGGAGGGGAGCCCACAGACATAGAACAGATTTCCCTTGAGACATCCCTCCACCCCAGACCTCTGGATGGCAAAGAATGGAGTTGGTGGGACTGGGTTGGCTGGGCAGGACCAACAACACAGCCTTGCTCTCCCCATTGCATTAGGGGATAACGCCTGCAAAGAATTCAGGGGAGTAGAGGACAAGGGTCATTTTTAAACCAGTTTTGCAAAAATAAAAGGGAATTAGCCTATGTGTTTCCAAAAAAAGACAAAAACCACCTTGCTTGTACTTTTATTTTCTTGGGATTTTCATTTCACATCAGAGGCACTTCATTTTGGGGTCCCACGGATCCTTCCAGAAGGAGGGGTTCCTGGTGCTTACAGCTGGAGGACCTGTGCAACTGTCCCATCTTCTCTTCCTCATGTTTTGCTCTTTCCTAAATATTGGTGAAGCTTGGGATTGAGAGAATATCACAGGGCAACCGAGCCATAAGGGACAGCAAGGGAATCTCTGACGTTTACTTAATTTTTGCAGATGGAGCTTCTGAAGAACCTCCCCTGGCGTCGTGCTGTGCTGGCTGTGGTCCTGAACCTGCTGGCCTTGAGCCTTTCCACCACAGCTCTACTGGGCAGCTACTGGTGTGTTGGGACTCAGAAAGTTCCCAAGCCACTATGTGGCAAGACAAAGAGTACCAAGTGCATCGGTGTCCCCTTGCCTCCTGATGGAGGAGCTGGCAATTCCTCTTCACCTTCCCAGGATGTAGTGCACTACAGCTGGGAGACTGGAGATGATCGTTTTGCTTTCCGGTACTTCCACACAGGCATGTGGCTTTCCTGCGAGGAGAACATAGAAGGCTCAGGTAACATTTCCAGCTAAGGAAAGCCAATAGCATCACCATTCATTCATTCATTCATTTATATACTGACTTTTCCATCAAAACACCTAAGGCAATTAATATTGTATTGTGTGAATTTATTTATTCACTTAAAATGTTTATATCCTATCTTATATCCAGTCAGGATCTCTAGGCAGCTTACATAAACATAGAACAAAACAGCAAAAGCCACAGCAGCACTTGCATAAAACATAACCTACAATATATATAAAAATATGCAGTAAAAACATTCTAACCATTAAAATGCTGGGCAAATAAAAAGGTCTTGGCCTAGCACCACAATGGTTAAAGAGTTGGTGCCAGGTACACCTCTCTGGAGAGCAGACTCCAAAAAATGGCTTACAGTCAAAAAGACATAATACAAAAGAGGCCAACTCTCTCATATGGTTAGATGATGACAGTATTAATGACCAGGTGGAATGGCTACTGAGAGAAAGAGTTCTGGAAGGAGGTAAAGATGTGGTCCTAGCTGCCTTGCCTTACCCTTGAAATGGCCAGGCGAGATGGCTGCTGTTGATTACACACACTGTTCCCGGGATGGGCTTGGTGCCCATCAAAGGATGAAACTCGGAATGTGAACGTCTTCCCTTCATACGTCTTTTCAGGCTATGGAGGCTAAGACCACTAACACTGAAGGTTTTCTATGAAATGCTAAACCATGCACTGCGGAAGGGAGGGAGGAGGGAGGAGTGAGTGAGTGAGTGAGTGAGTGAGTCTTGGGAGAGTATATGAAGGGCTATGCTTGCTTTGCATGAGAACTTATGCCGCATCCCATTCTGTAGCATTAGCACTATGCCAGGAGAAAGAAGAGCCCCTCAAAATTAAATATTATGTGCCATTGGAAAATCTTGCATTGTGGGGTCCGAATCATCCCTACTTTCTGCTTGATGTGCAGATGGTGATTAGAACTTGCTCAGCTCAAGGTATGTGTGGCTTGCAGTCTGCAAAAATAAGTGATTCTAATGGGGTGTGGGAGCAGGCAGGGAATCCAATCCCATAAAGAAAATGAACCCATCAGAATTGCCTTTTGGTGGTCCCTAGACTCGCAACTTGTCTCCCATTGTTTTTAATAAACTTGCAGTTCCTGGCTTCTTTGCTTAAGATACATGCTCAGATTAAGAGGGATGTCGTTACTCATGCAAAATTGCAGCATGGGATGCAAAGACCTGCCTAAGTCATCTTGCAGCCTCCCACATCCATGATGAGATCTCTGTGATGCATTACATCCAGCCAGTGAAATCCTGATGGAAGCAGGTTTCATTGAAATCAACAGAATTTACACTTTCCTAATAGGTTTAGGATCAAGTATGAGTCAATAGGGTCAAGTGTTATTCAATTGACTATGAACTAGCACACAGAGCCTTAGTGAAATGTTTAGCTATTATTGAATGGGTCGGAAAAGGGGCCTAGATAAATTAGACTTGTAGGCATGGAAAAGTAAAAAAAAATAATGAGATGGTGTTCACGTGGACAAATTAACTTGAGAAAGCAAAGCTACATCAAGGGGACATAACCTACAGGCAGAAGCCTGGAAAGCAATATAGTTAAAAAGGGCTTTGCAACAGAGGACATGCAGGTTAGACACTTCATAGTCTGATCCAGAATTATAGACAGACTTGGCAGTTTTCTGCACTGTATATACAAAGTCATCTCTTGGCCAATTTTAAATTGGATTAGTTTCTTTTTAACTTCTTGGAGCTTGTTTTAATACACATTCAGTACAAGTGAATAGGATTTTCAGAACATGCTTAGGTTTAAATGAGCTAACATCCAAATGACAAGTGCTGCTTGTCTAGCTGGCTGGTTTCTGTGGGTTTCTCAGTGTGTTGAGTGGGGAAATGAGATGTCTCCTGTGCTTGAAGAATTCATCAGATCCACCTTGCATTAAGAAGTTGAGGCTGCAATGCTACAGCCCAGTAAGTGGCCTTGTTGTGAAAATGCCACTTCACTGGTGTGATGGCACTAACATACACAGAAGTGCTCCCAGGAGCTCCCAGCATGCTGATGGTGGCATAGATGTACCACTGATTTACCACTAGTGGTAAGAGAGAAAGGAATATTCCACGGTGAGCTGGAGGAGACCCACAGTTCACAAGCAGGATAGAAAAGCCTGCTGTTCACACATGTTCTGGCTGAAGGAATCAGAAGTGAGGTTTCGGCAAGGGGCGGCATAGAAATGTTATAATAATAATAATAATAAAAAAGTGCTGGTTCTCCCTCCATGGATTCTCTCTGCACCCCCATGGCCTTGCTCTAGCTGTCTGCAATCCTTTGCATACTGAACCAAGGAATAGGTCCAACGGAGCCCAGTGGACCTTTCCCCTGAGTAAATATGCACAAGGTGGATTCTGGAGCAATTCTTGCCCATCTGAAAAATGAGTAGGTGTAATGTGAGCTGACTGTTTATGGGGGAACAGGGACAAAAACATACTCTGAATTTCAGGTGGGAATCATTGCCCTGTCTTGTTCATGTGATGGTACCATATAAGAGAAACAATTAACCGCTGCCAGCCCTTTACTCTTTGGATCTAGAATAGAATAGTCCAGAAGCAATTCAGCATCTGCAGTAATTTCAACAATGTGGTCTAGTTTCAAAAACAGGCCTTTCTTTCCTGCAACATATGGAAGCATTTATTTCCCCTCTTGTTTTCTTTTAGATGAGAAATGTCGCAGTTTCATTGAACTTTCACCTCCAGCAGAAAGAGGTGAGTACAGGGAGGATTTGGGGCCTGGCTGAGCCAGTGCAAGCTTTAGGAGTGGACATGGTCCTGTAGTCAAAAGTAAACAGTGTATTATTTGTGCATCTGCCATTTGTGATCTTTAACCAAGCTACTGCAGTGCCCTCACATGTCTGTCTGATGACATCTTTCATTATTCTTGAGACTGAGAATTCTGGGTTACTCATTTCCACTTTCAGCAGAATTGCCAGTAAAAGCAGCCTTCAGTCCATAAACCTGCAATGAAAACAGTTGACCAACTTCTTTGAGACTGTGAATTAAAAATGCAAAGATTTGAGAAAAGGGGGGAGATTGTATTTATTAAACCTGGTATATGTCCCAGAATTTTGGTTTGGTTTTGGCTTGTTTTGAAAGTGGTATATATGGGGACCATCTTTGATCAGTAGGGCCCAGTATCTTCTTATACTTTCCAGAGCTTGTATGGCCATTGCCAACAGTTATTGGAGGGATCCATACAACTGTCTTGTAGATACGTATACCCAGGTATTCCCTTCTACATCTATCTAAGTGACTCCAACAGGCTTCAAGGTGCTTCAAGGACATGGCAGATCCTGTTCAAAAGCTGTTGGAATGGATGCTTTCTCCGTGAATATGTCATGAGCACCCCCTTTTCTTTAAGCCTTTGTACCCCTAGCTTCTGCTTAATACCTGCTTTAATTCATTGTTCCTCATTCCATACATGCTCAGGGATTCTGCTCTTTTCAATCTGTGTTTCTGCTTTGGGTGCCTGGTAATGGCCTGTAGAGAGAACTTTTTCTTGACTGCTACTATCAGCCCATGATTGCAGGTTTCTGAATGCCCCACTGCCTAAAAGTGTGTTCTCAGTTATGAAAGGGCTCTCTCCTTACAAGTACCAATCTTATAAGTGTTCAGATACATGAGAACACTCACTGTTTGCTGCAGTAGGCCTGCTTACTATTTGTAACCCACTGAGCTGATCATGGTCTGCCATCCATATATGGCAACTTACCTGGGGCTTGTGAAACCTCCTGGTTTGCTGCCTATTTGGCACTGCCAAAATGGGAGTGATCAGGCACCTTGGGCAGCCTTCTAAAATTCCTGGGCCGTCTTAGCTTTGGTGGAGCACCTCTTGTCCAGGTCTTTACTAAAGTCTTCTGGCACCTTTGATCAGTGAGGAGGGAGGAGAAGCGATCTCTGCTCTCTTCAGGTTGTAACTCTGGCCAATGGGTACTGTCTGGTTGCACACAATAGGCATCCTCTGGTTGTCGCTTGGATCAGAGATGGTGTACATCAGCTTACTGCTCATCAGCTTCATTCTCCTGCTAGTGGAGATGTTGTACACAGGAAACCCAGTCTGTGGGCTGAAGCTCAATGCCTTCGCTGCTGTCTCTTCGGTATTGTCAGGTAAGTGCTTTTTATGGAAGGTAGGGCGATCAGGTGGCATACTTCACAGAAGCCAGTCCTCTTTGAAGTACTTTCAAAGGACAGCCCTCTACTGAAAAGTGACCTCTATTTGGAAAGCTGTCTATTCCAAATCTCATTTAAAGATTAAAAGAAAGCAATTAATTAAGAAGGGAGAGCAGGGGATGAAGTTGCCCATCAGTGCTTAACTGCTGTACAACAGACTGAGTTTGCACAGAGATCACCAGGACACAGTCTGCCTACTAAGGGGAGTTGTCCTGTATTTCTATTTCAATTATAGTAATTATTTCTGAATGTGTGTCTAGACATACACTTTAGGAACTACGACTTTTATACAAACCAGTTGCCCAGGTGATTTTTTTGTACTTCCTTTTTTTTTGAGGACAATGCTCAAGTAGTCACCCTAATGAAATGTGTCTGAGGAAGCTGCTCAGCTGATGAGAGCTGGTGGGACGCCCAGAAAATGGCAAGGACTGGGCAGGCACATCCTCCCCAGTAAGCGGCTGGACTTAGAAGTTGAAACAAAGAATGTGGCTGTGGTGGGGAGAAATGAGTCAAAAGGGTGGGAATGACAGAGCTTCCAGGAGAAGCACTGGGACCCAAGGGATCCTAGCATCAGCTGCTGATTCCTTCAATCAGGGTGGCATTTCCTAAAAGTTCAACCCCAAGTTCAGAATGTGAATGAAAATGAGAGTGAGAAAGAGAAGCCATTTTCCTTGACCTGACTGAATTGTGTCTTTCCTCTGCTTTCAATGGAGGCCTACTTGGCATGGTGGCTCACATGATGTACAGTCAAGTTTTCCAGGCAACAGTTAACCTGGGACCCGAGGACTGGAGACCACACTCGTGGGACTATGGTTGGGCCTTCTAGTACGTGTAACATTTATATATGAAAATATGCTAGATCTTCCCCCCTTAAAACACTGGACATGTGAGGCTGCTTTATGGTAAGTCAGACTGTCAGACCATCAGGCCTGCATTTTCAGCTAGCGCTGACCCCCTGGGCGTTGGTCTTTCCCAGCCTTCTTCCTGAAAGATCTTTTATATCAGGAATAGGGAACAAGTGGCTCTCCAGATGCAGCCAGACTGTACTTCCCATTGTCTCTCACTAGTGGCTGTGCCAGCTAGGGCTGATGGGAGTTGCTATACCATCTGGAGAGCTAAGTGATCCCCGCCCTTGCTTGAGCTGGTGGCAGCAGGATCGAGCCTAGGACCAAAGCAATCAAATGACTACTCCACCAGGTACTGTGGGATCCTGCATGCAGAACTCCCTTCATAGGTAGTGCCAGTTGTGATTGTGAATCTCCCCTTAGTTTCCCATGTTGAAGAAATTATTTCATGTCATGCAAATCTGGTTTGTTAAGGTCACTTATTTTTAGCTTATAAACTACCCTGACAACCCATGGATTTTACTTGGGTTTATTTAACCCATGAGGGGTTGTGTTGTCTGAACTTGGACATCGTGGATTAAGCCCAACTTCATCAAGCCACTGGGCTAGACCAGCAGCATCTCCTGGAGTAATGCCAGCTCCGCTCCACCACTGCGAGCTGTTTCAGGTACACAGTAGCAGCAGAGAGTGGGGAAGAGACTCGGGCCTCCAGCAGTGTCCCCTGGGATACCCACAGGAGACCTGAAGGAGAAGGTAAGCATGGACCTAAGATGTGCCTGATAATCTTCCAGGCACGTTGTGGAGCCATGGGTGCTTAGCCACACTGGGCGGCTTATGGTGCAATGTGGCATAAACTGTTGTCCAAACCTGCCCAATTTTTGCAATTTAAAACACAAAGCTGAACACCCATTCAGAGAATTGCCACTCAATGCATTACTCCATTCCAGGGTGCCTGTTGTTGTGATGGCTCCCTGCTTACCATCGTTCTGCTGATGACTCATCCCTTGCCCTGCCTTATACTCGTATTAAGGAAGATGTCCCCAGGGCTTCACATTTGGCTCTTTCTGTGTATTTTGGGGCTAACAGCCAGGATTAGCAAATTTGCTTAACACCTGGGGCCATGGCTAATTTTTGGACACAGATGTATAATTTGTTTCTCATTGTTTGTACAAACCTGGAAGATGGCAAAAGGCTTGTGCAAAATAAGGGCCTGTAAAATTCCCTGGAGCAGGAGAAAATCTGTAGCCAGATCTGCTAAATATGCTGGCAGATGCAGTGTATTTCCATGGGAACTTTCGCTGACCTTTAGTGTCTTCTTAGTGGTTTCAGCTACAGTGCTGTGAGTCTTCTTCGTGCCACCATTTCCCCGGTGCTCCGTTACTACTTTCGAAGCCCTAGATTTCTTCATACATGCATGTTTTCCGCATAGGTGCATTCTAGTGGCAGCTTTGCTGTTTTTCTTGGATTATTGCCCATCTTTTTTCCAAGGAACTGAAGACGGCATGCGTGTCCCCTCTTTTCATCCTCACAAGAACCTAGTGGGGGGTAGTTGGGACCGAGATAAAGCGACTGACTGAAGGCCAGCCATGCACTTCATGGTGAAGTGGGGACGGGAACGAGGATCTCCCCTGCCCTAGTCTGGTAGTCTCACCACCACATACATTGCTGCAGACACCTTGTGCATATAGTCTGTTCCAGGTTTTTGAGGGCCCGCGGCAAGAAATATTTAACGGTCCCGCTTCCCCCAGTGCGTCTTCCTTCACGCCACTGTTGCCACCACTGCTCCTTGTTCTCCTCCCTTTTGTGGTCGCCACTTGCTTGCTTGGCAGGCAAACAGTCATGGAGCAGGCAGGCCATGGCATCTCCTGCTCACCATGCGAGGCAAGTGAGCAAGTAGGTTGCAAGTGAGCAGCCATTCCAGATAACGCTTTCTGTGGGCCCCTGCTGGGGTGTGGACCCTTGGCAAGTGCCTGGCCATGCCTGTTCTTGGCCCTGGTCCTGGATATACTAACTCTATAGTGAAGACATGCTGAGTGAATGGGCATTTTGTGCATGATAAACCCAGGCTATATGGCTGTGCAAAGAGGTGGGTTTCCAACAATTCCCACCCACTCCATTTACCAGATCACTTTCTTGCAAGGAACCTGAAATGGCAGCAGGATCTTGCCTTTTTCTTGCAAGCACAGCACTATCCAGCTGCTCGCAGCATGGCCTCATACTGTAGACAGAAAGCGCACATGACATTTCAGATTCCTCTTTTGCATGACACTTAATTGCATTTCCAGCACAGAAGAACTTGTACCATATTAACATATGACTACAGAGGTGCAATTGTGCGTGAAGAAAAATACTGAGCTAGCAGAAGGGGCTCTGGTGTAGGCTGTGCTTTTGGCAAACAGCTGGGTAATACTCCCTTCACCTTTCCCCAGGCATTTTAATCGGGAAAAAGTGACTGGAGGTGCCTGTAGGAGCACTGTGATTTTGTCACTATTTTGCCTAGCAGAACACACCGACCCCACTGCCACATCCCCACCATGACTTGCACTGTGGAAAGAGAAGGTACAGCTAAGACCAACACTCTTCCTCTCTCTTTCAGCATGGCCTGGGCCTCCTTTACCTGTTGCATGGCTTCTGCAGTCACAACCCTGAACACATACACCAAGACTGTCCTGGAGTTCAAGCGCAACCACGAGAAAGGCTGTGATGGGAGCTTCATCACTGATCAGTCACAGCATCACCAGTGCTTCATGCCACCACAGTACTACCACAGAGAGCATCTGAGTGGCTTCTACCAGCACCGAGAAAAACCTCCCCACTCTGTCTCTGAGGGGGTCGACTTCTACTCTGAGCTGCAGCAGAAGGTGCTACAGAGGGAGCCTGACCTAGAGCTGAGTGAAGGCCTGGGAAAGCCCATTGCAGAAGACCCCTGTTAGGATGGCCAGAGAGAATGCAGCAGGACAGCAGAGATGAGCACACAGAACCCAACATTCACCACCTCTGGAGTTGTGGCTCCTTTCATTCATTCTGCAATGAATTTTGGGAAAGTTGAGTGAGTGGCATTTGGTCACTGACCACATGAATATAGGAAGTTGCCTTTCACTGGTCATGGTTGCACGTAACAATAAGACAGGATTGCTGGCATGCCTTGGTTTACTGGGAATCAGCAATGTACTGATCTATGCAGCTTGCTCACTCTCACTTTGCTCTTCTCTCTGTGCAAGCAAATGAAACAAATCAGAAATGGGAAACTGTGTGACTTCTGAACCTGAGACCTTGTTTTGTCATGGCCAAACAAACCAATATTTACAAGCCAGTGAAAGAAATGTTCTGGTTTATTCCTGACTTACAAACCTGGCTTGTCCGAGCAACACACCTGTGGGAGATCTACACTAGAGCTGCTTTTGCTTGTGAGGGAGCGAAATCTCAGTACTTCTGCAAAACGCATTTATCATACTTGGCACACATGGTAATGAACACAGTGCAGTTGAAAACATGGGCATGTGTTGCACACAAATGCAATTGCAGAAGTAGGACAAGTTGGAAAGGGGTTGGGGTCAGGGGGAAATGTGTGCTGGGCACAAGTGCAAACAAGCCAACGAACTGAGTCTTTAAATGGGGGCGGCGGGGTGGGGATGCAGCTCCTTTTGCCCCTTCACACAAAACTGGAGAAGAGAGGGGGAAGCCATGGTGCTGCTCCCTGCTGTTCTCCCTTGAGGTAACACCACAGCAAGACCAGAATTCCCATTCCCTCCACCAGAAAGCAAGCAAGTGCAGCCCCTGTGTTGCACCAGCAAGTAATCTTCAGTGAAGTCAATGCGATTTGCCTGCGAGTAAACCATTGAAAATAGTGTGATTTACTTCTGAATGGGCATGTATTTTTAGGCAGTTGTTTCTTCAGCAAGAGGAAAAAGAAAATAAGGAAAACTTGAGGATACTGTAAATGTTTTTTTCAAAGGACAGGGAAGGGGAGGGAATAGCAGCTTTGTATCTGCAAACCGAAGAGTGTGAGAGGCACCGAAGTGCAGGATCCTTGACTTATTTATAGTTTCTATCATGTGTTTTGTGAGTTGTACATCAAGGCATAGTGTGGGAGGGGGAGAGACCTCTCTTAATTCTTGGCTTCAACCCAAAACATTCCCTTTCACCCCACTTTAGATCAGGAGTTTCCAAACGGACAGGAGCAGGACATGCTCTCCCTCTTGTGTGCCTGCCCCTGCACTGCCACTCATCAAACCCCACTGCAAATGCATCTGGCCTGTTCACATCACAACACCTCCCCCCCCCCCCCCCCCGCCAATGCTTCAATCTCATTCTCTGGCCCTCTTCAGCCATTCTTTGCTGAAAGCATGGAGGCTGCGGACAGCAGCAGCAGGACCATGAACACGGGGTAGAGCCATTTCCTGTGAATTATATAGAGCCCCTTCGTACAAGTAACACATGAAGGCTTGAATTTGTTAATTTATTTATTTACATGTATTTATAGGCTGCCTATAATTGCCGAGGCCATCCTACACATACACGAGAGCTCCGCCATCCCCACTTCACAGAATAAATGTTTCTCACATTAAGATGCATACACAGATGCAGAGAGGCTGGAGGGGTTATTAACTTATGGATTGAACAGTACCCTTTGCTGCTCCTTGCCTTCATTCTGTTACTGCCACATGCACCTCATTGCCTGCTTTCTTTGAGTGATTTAAACCTCTCTCTACATATACACACTTGCACAAGTGATCAAGCAGAGGTAGCTCAGTGATGGACACAAGGGCGAGCCAATCAGCATTATACAGCCTTGCTCAAAGGATGCTGTGTTGGAGTTGGTTCATGACTGACACAAGGGCTGGCCAAACAGCACTTTGCAAAGCTGCCATCTCCTGAAATGGGCAGAGGGCCATTTGTGCTTTCCAGCTGCAATGAGCGCACTCCCACAGCAGGTTCACTGCAGAAATAATGTACATCTCTCTTCATGACCTGAGGACTCCACTGGAGCATCCAATTTACTCCCCCTTTTCTTCCAAACTCCCCTTCAATTTGCTCAGAAAAGCTAGGAAAAACAAGTCACACACCAGCAAGATGCTATACATGATATTTATTTGTTCATTATGGTTCACAGTTCAAACAATATACAGACAAGTTCTTTATTTAAAGTGCACACAGGAAATGGAGAAAGAATTCACATTATAGAGGGAACAGTGTCACCACATAATACAAATCAAGTCTTTCAGTGAAAGGAGGAAATTTTGGGGCATTTCAGGTAGCTGACAGGATTTGCTAGCTAGAGTTGAGTATTATGGCATTTCTCCCTATTGAAGAAACTCCAAAACCAATTTGTGTGTCTTTAGTTAATATCTTTATTTACAAACAAAGGCCAGACCTAAGAGAAGGCAAAGGGGAGATAGGTGCTATAAATATTGATACTATTTACAAAGCAATTTACCCAACAGCTCCCCTCACCTACATATGCACACTCATCAAAGGTTCAGAATGAAAAGAGAAGAGATACAGTGAGGCCCTGCCTTGGGGATTGCTATGAGGATAAAAGCTAATGACAATGACTTTTATACAGGAGAGCATATGAATATACACATTATTAGTTCAGTGGAGCGAGAGGAATGACTTCCTCCTTACCATTCCAATGGCACTAGCCCTGTTCCACAGGAATGAGCTGCAAATTCTTACTATGGCAAGAAATGAAAGTTGAGTCCTCCAATGATCTGAACTGAGAATGTTGCTTCCTAATTTGTTCTGAGATAATCTAGAGTTGGGGCGGGCAGTGAACTGGCTGATGACCTAAAATTAGTCAGGATAGAAAATATATGTAAAAGGGATTGGGATGAATTCTAAAAGGGTTTCTCAAAACTGGGTGAATGAGATATGAAATGGCAAATGAGGGTTAATGTAAGCAAGTATAAACTGGTGAACATTAGGGCAAAAAATCATCTTAATTACACATACAGGTTGATAGGATCTTAGCTGGCAGTGACTGCCCAAGAAATTCATCTTGGGCGTCTGCTGACTGGGTCTATGAAAGCATAAACTGCAAGTGTGTTTGCTGTATAAAAGGCAAATTTGAAAATAAAATTGCCAGTATCATACTGCCTTTATGCTCAAACCTTATCTGGAATACTGTCTTTGTTCTTGCCACTACACCTCAAAAAGGTTGTTATGGAGGTAGCAAAGGAGCAGAAAAGAGTTACCCGAATGATCACGCGCCTGGAACAACACTCGTATGTTGAAAGGTTACAACACTTGGGGTGTGTTGGCCTAGGGGAAAATAAAACTAGCAAGTAAAGGAAAACATGGCAGATGCATACAAAATTATGCATGGTGCAAAGACAGTAGGCAAAGGAAATTTTCTCATCCAGTAAAACTGTAGGAGTCAGGAGAAACAAAAGAAAGAACATCTTCACACAGTTCAGTTGACCTATGGAATTTGCTATCAGAAGCCATAATGATGGCTATCAACACAGATGGTTTTGAAAGAGGAGTAAACCAATTGAAGGAGGATAAGTTTATCAATGGTTTATAGCCAGGATTGCCACACACTGCCTCCTGGATCAGAGGCAGCACAGTTGCTGGGGAGCCAGAGCAGGAGAGGACTGGTGCTCCTTGTAGGTTTCCCAAAGCCATCTGGCTGGCCACTGGAGGATGCTGATCTAGATTAATCTTTGGGCTGTTTCTGTTAGGCTTATGAAAGAGAACCAAAAGCATCTTTTGTCAGAATTAGAGTGTCTGAGTTTTTAAATACACATGCACACATCCCAAGAGTAAGCAAGCAAGCACTAGTCAGGGGATTTAAATACAGGAAACTGTTTGAGGAGTTAATCCCAGTATTATATAACAGCAAAATGAACTGGATATCTGGACTTACTTCCTTTGGTACCTTTGGTCACTGATCTGCTCTTCCATGGTTCACAGTAGTGATGGATTCTGCTAAGAATTATTGTGGTACATTGTCATTTATATATTGCTGACAGATATCAATGACATCAGCATTACAATTTGTCCAAAATGCTGTGCATGTGGAACATCTAATGGCCACCCCATGGCAAGGCAACAAGCAAAAGCGACATCAGAGAGAGCTAGTGGGTTTTCCCAGAGCCTTAACATGAACCTCTTGCGAAAAAGAGGTGATAAACAGGCTATTTCATCAACGGATGGGAGGAAATCCCAGCAAGATGTTTGCTATCTAGAAAAGAGAAATATATATCCAGGCTCAAAGGGCTGCTGAAGAATCCAACCTTAATCAAAATTATGTGCCTTACCAATGGACAGGATACTTACAATGGGGAGCGGCATTCCTGAATATGCTGCTTCTACACTGGTTAAGCATTGTTCCCAAAACACTGTTGGCTTTGTTTCACAAATGATGAATCACTGGGGTATCTGTAATGCAGCTTAGCTCAGAATACAGGACAAGCTACATATTCTCTCATGGAAAAAGTAGCTCTGGGCTGAACTAGATACAGTCCACTAGGTAAAGAAAAGCAACCAAAACCAGTGTTCTTCACTGTAAGGCCCAAAGGCCACTGGCAGGCTCAATCATCTAAAGTGGCCCCATACCCTTCTTTCCCCCTCTCAGCTGCTCTCCCTCAGAAGGGGCTCTCCAATTTGCCTTGCTGTTTGCTCCAGTAATGGGCTAAACAGTGTGCTCTGGGTTACCAGAGGAGTCTTTGCAGGTGGGGAGTCAGGTGACCTTATTATGCATCAGCTCCAAGGTGGAGATGGGGAAAAGGAAGATGAGAAGAGAGGTACAAACCACCAATTAGTTGTGCAGGGTAGGGACAAGAGGCAAAGAGTGGATGATCAGTGGTACTGGAAGAGAAGAGGAAACTGAGTGTGCAGGCAAGAAAGAAAGCATCAAGGGACTGTGCCAGGAAATGTTGCAGCACTGAGAATGGCAGAGCCGTCTCTCAATGAAGAGTAAACAACTGATCCTAAACCAAGGAGAAAGTGAATCAGCTGGAATTTGCCTGCCTGGGAACTGAATGATGAGCTCTTGTATGGAAGAACTGAAAAAGATAGGAGAGAGGGACTGAAAAAGACCTCCAACTGCCCCACCGCTTGAAAAGGGGAGGGGAAACAGAGAGCAATGCTTTCCTCCACAGCCCAGAAAAGGCCCTCAAGAGGTCCAGGTAGCAATGGCTGGTGCTGAAGTGGCTCCTTATTGAAAAAATGGTGAGGATCATTGATCTAAACTCATTCTGGAGTAGAAAAAAGTAAGTAACACAGATCCCTCTGGTATGTATGACATGCTCCCATGGGAAGTAACTGAGCCTCAACAGTAGCCTCTAAAGATCAAAACTGTAACCAGGTATCACCAGGGCAAGTGAGTCAATGCCCTGGTCACAATCCCTTGCCTGCTTCTGCCAGAGGCACAGTTAGATGTCAGTTTTAACATCTTTGCCGTGATGACAAAATTCCCCTTGCAAAGAGATATCCCCCAGTACTGTTGCTTCAAAGATAGAACAATGCAAGGCCATAGAATTTTCAAGCATTCCTTGTTTGCCATAACACAGGGAATATAAATAAAACAGGAAATATACAAAAGCATTATGGTGAATATTTTCTTATTCATTGCTTCAAAACCATGGCAGACCCATGGACAGCTGATGTCAGCATGAAGAAGAGGACAGAGGGTGAATTAATAGCAGATCACAACCTTTTGGTTCAACAGCACTAACACCAGTCTGGATCTGAACAAACATATGCAAACATTCAGCACTGAAGTATAATGCCATTCAACCTTGGTTGAACCCTGGGAGTGCAGAGAAAGAACTCAGTGGGGCACAGCAGACACCCCTAAAACAATGGACACAGCTGAAGGAACCCTAAAGGCAGAGGCTGTGAGCCAAGGGAAAGCACTTCACAGAAAGCAGAGTGTGTGGAAATGCTTATAAGAAACAAATGGGAGCTTCCTCGGAAAGGCTTCATAAATTAAAAATGCAATATATATATACACATCTATATCTATATACACAGAGACATGTACACGTGTATCTCTGCATCAATGTGCATCTTCAATCTACCTGGAAGGAAGTATACAGGTAGAACATAGCAATGAAAGGGCCAAGGAACGTTCCTGCAAGCCAGGATGAGGAAGGGTCACCAGCAGGACAAGTTCTCCAGTTCTCCACAGCTGTACACAGGACAAGTCCCCTATTCATCACTTATTGAATGCATCATGAGGTCTGGCTGGTCAGCTTGGTGTGCCGCTGATATAGAGGCCAACACTTTTGTCTTGTTCCTTGGAAAACCTGAGTTCCATAGCTAGAACTGGGGGTGGGAGGAGAGAGAAAGTAGTGTCAAATACACCAGGACTGGCTGCCAGGCTTTTGAAAGCCCTCAGACAAGGGAGCACAGATTCTCACTTCATGCAAGGGGCATCCCAGCCAGCAGCAATGACATGGTGTAGTAGTTAAGAGCACAAGTCTGGCACTTGGGCAATATGGGCTCTAAGTCCCTGCTTCGCCATGGAGTCAACTGAATGACTTTGGGCCAGTCACAAAATCTCAGCCCAACCTACCTAACAGGGTGTTTGTTGTGGGCATAAGGTTAAGAGCAGGAGAAGGAGAATGGTGTAAGCTACTCTGAGTTCTATAAAAATGAAAAAGGGGTTAAATAAATAAATAAATGTGGGCAGGGCAGGCTTTCAGAAAGCATGTAATGACAACCAGCGGTATGGTGGAACATTCTGAAGTGTAGCTGCTCCTCATGACAGCCCCAGCATGACAGCTCCAAGGAGAGCTCCACAGTTCAGACAACTGTGCCACCCCAATCAAGAAAGGCATTCCATTAGTCTTAGCTCCTCTGGGAGTAGGTCTTTTGTAAGACCAATCAGTCTTAATTGCCCATTCAAGACCAAGTCACCCCAAAATACTCTGCACTCTAACATTGAACAATATAATGTTGCTGAGAAAATTAATTTTCATTCCAGCTATTGTGAGGATCACAGCTATGATCAGACAGAATAGGTGACGGATGACATCAATACTCACAGGAATTAACAAATTCCTGGCATGATGCCCTGGCTCCACTGTTCCACTGGCAATAGCCACGTCACATCCACTAGAGAATTGCAAATGGATGATAAGCCTGGCTGAGGCCTATACCAAACAGAGATATGGCCAGAGTCTCCCTGCACCAGGGATCACACTGGGCCCTTCATGCAAGTCGGGGTCCCAGCAAGTGTCTGAGAATACACACCAATAGTCACATTTGGAACCCAGAATCTATCCAAGTTCACATGAACTAAGGGGAGAGCCACTGAGAGAACTGATCTGGATGTTACTCCCTCTCAAGAAACAATATGATTCCCATGAATGACCCAGGTGATCTCAATAAATATTTAAGGGCTTGATGGCAAAAGGGCAAACTGTATTTTTTGCAAGCTGAGCCAGTGAATTGCACCCCTCTGGAATCTGATCTGCCATTCATGGCTCTCCTGTCATATGACAACAACAGAAAAGGAATTAAGTGCGGGAACAGCTTACTCGAGGCTTTCCCTAAGAAGTCTCTCAAGAGTGCCAGTGAATCACAGTGTAACCAGAGACAAATGAAGACCACCTTCCTGGCCAAGGACAAAGCAAAGGGCCCATCTTTCTATTCTTCCCAATATTTCTGTCACTTCTTTCAATTCTTTTGCTCTGCAATTGGCCAGACCCTCAAATCCAGACATTCTTATTCACTTTCTCTCCAAAGAAGCAGCCTTGTCAATTCTTCTGCCTCTCACATGCACATTTTTCCCTCCAAAGAACACTTCAAATCATCCCACCTTGTGAGCAGAATCGATAAATTTGATCCTGGAAAGAAAGCGCCTCAGTTCTCCATGATTGATTTTGGGATCGGTCTCCTTCAAGGGCACCTCTCGGCTCTGAGTCATCAAGGCCCACCTCAGGCGCAGTTTGCTGACTGAAAGAAACCCGGGCTGATGTTCAGAGGTGGGGCTTGTTGTCATGGTGATATAAAATGCATCTTTTTGAAGATCATTGATGCCAACTAGCAGAACACATAGGAGAAAGAAAATAGCAGTAAATACTAAGTGATTCTCTACATTCTGATCTGACAGTCAAACTAACATCCATTCACTGTTTCTAACTGTGTCGGAGCCTCTAGCTTCTGTTAAAAATCTGGGCATAGCATTCAGCAGCCTGAAACTCAGCAATGAATACAAAAGCTTCTGCAGAGCTGATACAGAAGCTGCAGTCACAACCTGCATTTCTGACTTTGGTGAGTGCAGTTAAAAGCACCCAGAAAATAAAAGCAATACAAAAATGAAGAACATGGGAACCTCAAACATTAGCATTTCTTCACACAATAGTAAGAATTACATGCAAATATTTAATGCACATGCATTTCAAAAAGGGGTAGCCATTTCATTAGAATCAGATAAGGTGCCTCAAAATGCCAAGATTCGCAACTGCCCAACCCTGTGCAGTGGGGCTTTACCAGAAATGCTCAGTCTGTTGTACCACTGCAGCTGGAGCAGCATCCTATGTCTGGCAGGTCAGCCAATTCCAGCTGATTCTTTCCTGTCCGGGTTCACTCACTCTGGCCAGCAACTGCTCCCTAAACCGTCAAAGCTAAGATTATGCCAATGTCTGTACCTCCTATGGTGTCCCAAAAAAGCCTTCCGTGTTAGTTACCACAAAACTTGGCCCAGGCCTGTACAGGAAGCACATTTTTTCAGACTCTGCCACTACAGCTGTTAGCTTGGAAAGGCAGCTGCAGGCAATACAAGCAAAGTACTGTGACGAGATCAGAGATGTGAAGCCTTGGTCGTAGGCTTCTGGAAATCTTCCATTTGCTACTACTAGCTGCGATTTGGCTCCAATGTTTGCTGCGTTCCCTCTGCTTCGGAACACGCTGCTTAAGCTTCCCAAGAGTTTTTCTGCTTTGCGTTGGCAGGCCTGCCTGTGGCCCCGCCCATTTTCAATTTGGCCGCCTCTGTGGCTCAACAGGTAGGAAAATGGCCTTTAGCAGCACTTGGCCAGGGGTACCTGGCACTTAGGTGCCAGCCTGGAAGAATCCTCCATGGTCCTTCTTCGTCATGTCATTAGCCAGCACCAGATTCAGGTTTGGAGGGGGCTCTCCAGCCAGGCAATCTCAGTGCTCCTTTCTCTAGAGGATCCCCCTTCTCTCCCAGGCACCACCTTCCGCCCTCTCGACAGGCTGCTGGCCCAATTATGTTGTAAGCGCCCCGAGGCCTTGGCAAGGGGCAGCATAGAAATGTTTTAATAAATAAATAATAATGTTCAGTGCACTCACATTCCAAAGCTGCTGCATTACAATTGTGTGATGCCATGTCTTCTGGGGATGATGGACACTGCAGTCCCACACATTTAGAGGACATTAGATTGGGCAAGGCTACTCTACTGCTTTAGATGGCAGTTCATAAGAGGAAAGACAAATATTTGACCAAGAGGCTTAAACACTGTAAGCAACACTGGAAAGAAGGAGAATAAAGCTATCACCCCACCTCCCCATCATAAATTGGGAAGGCTTTAAACACCCGTTTGAGTTTCATTTCCCCCCACACCAGCACACACTCACTAGATGAAGCAGTCACTGTGCCTGTGGTATTACTCAGATCCAGAAGGACTGTAGGGAAATTGGGATGAAGGAGATAAAGATGGTGGACTCTTGGGCTGGGCTCCTACAACAACAACAACAACAACAACAACATGAATTATTCATTTCCTCCACAAATTGTGAGGTGTTGCAATGGTTTGAATTCCACCTGTCAGTCACATCTTAGTTCCACTTAACACTAGTCACAACTTGGTCCATAAGAATAGGATTTAAATTAGTATCACTTGGATTCTACCTGCTAGCCACACCTTAGTCTTCACAAATAGAACTTAAGTTAGTCATGCCTACCTTATCCCATTGACAAAAGGGGACAAAAGTGTAACTGACTTGCTCTGTTTCTAGCCCTATGAATCATGAGACTGAGGTTCTCCTAATTGTGAAACTTTCCCCTAAAATCAGACTGTATGCTTGTCCATCTCTACTGCTTACAGAATGTTGCCAACCCACCCTCAGCTTCCAGAAGGGGAGTTATATTAGTTATCCCACCCAGTGTGTTGAAATTAAAAGATGGAAACTAAATGAAACTAGAGCCATGGAAGGTTTTTGCCTTTCAGATTTTCATATATCTCTTCACCTGTATTCTGTCAACAGACACTGCATTTATTAGGTACTTCCACTATGAGATAAAACTCACTCAAGCTTTAAAAAAGAGACTGGCAGACACAAGAAACACAGCCTGTTTGGTAGTGGCCCCATACCTGTGGTATTCCCTCCCTAGGGAGAGCCAAATGGCTTTAATCTACTGGCTTTGAAACAGACTCTGAACTCTTTTTACATTTCAAATGGCTTTTTGATATGTGGTACTCTACACTGTTGTGATGCCTGCCATTTTAATGTTGCATTGTTTCAAATATTTTCAGTAGAAATTTTTGTTCAACTTTGTATTAGTGTTTGGATGGAAGCCACCTTGGAGGAAATTTGCACTAAAAGGCAGCATATATATATATAAATTTATATATAAATACAAATACGAACAAATAAGACTACACAAAGAGGGCTGAATTTACTCAGCTAAAAAAATCTGTTTTCCACACCCTATCGGAGTCCTGGAAATACTTGCATTAAAAAAGAAAAAAAAATGCTTTGAAGCACATGTAGAGTGTGTAGCCACAGCCTGTCCCTTAAAATAGTGCATTTAGGAAGCATGGCTTCCAGTGCAGATGACATGAAGGCAAGCTTGAAACATGACACCTTTGCTTCATCATAAGGGCACACTATCCAACATGTTTTTCTAAAAGGAGTTAGACTCTTACTTACCAAGCTTTTTAGGAAAGACTGTTTTACATTAGCCCAGAAGAGGAAGACAGATTTTTTGTCCAGAGTCATCACTGATCGTGCATCCGATCTTTTCATGTGGCATGGCATTGCATAGCTCCAGATGGGGAGGCCTGTTTTACCATCCACCACCAGCAACTGAAAGCAAAGAACCCCAGAACGTGCACAATGAGGCACACATGGAAAAAGCAACAAAAAGAGAAAGACACAAGCTGGGCTAAACACAGATTCTCCACGTTCAAAGGCAGTGTGCCTTTGATGAATAGGTATGGCAGAGGATAGCTATCTCATGTCCTGTTTATCAGCTCCCCAGTGGCATGTGACAGATATATTCTTTTTCTCACTTTTAATGCCACTATACGCAATACAGAAGGCAAGTTCAACTTTTTGAACCCAAATTTCATCCCAGAAAAGTGCTTGGAAGCCACATTCCAGGAGTGAACAGGGCTAAAGATAGGGATAGCATTCCAAAAGATGCTGCCTTACTGTAGTTTAAGGGTACAAGCCCATGCATCTTTAAATACAATCAACTCCCAGCAACTCCCAACTGTGTTGGTTGGGAAATGCTACAAGTTGTCACCCTCTTTTCTGTTTAAACATACATAAGATTGTACCTTAAAGCTGTTACTACCAGTAACTAATCTTAGGGTAACCATTTCAACCTTGTATGGAAATGGTTGGGGGAGGGAGACTGCACAAAAGCTGGAAAACCACAAAATAATCAGTGGTTAGGGAAAGAAGAATGGCCTTCTGAGGAACATGGAAGCCAGGTTTGGGCTCTGGGAGGGCTGAATTTAATCTCCTCCCCAGACTTGTTCTGTATACCTGCATCACACAGAGTAAGGTGGCTGAATGCTGAAATGCACCACCTCCAGCTACAGTGGGAAGAGGTATCTTTGAATGCTTGTACATATACAAAGCTCCCTGCAGGCCCCAAACTAGCACAGGGAGGGCTATGTGAAACCTCTCTCTTCTGATAGACTTGTTTGCTACATACAGGGTGGTACATTCAAGAGTATGGTGCCCAAACTCCCACAACCCATAGTATGAAGTGACACAATCCAGAATTCTGCCCCATCAGCCAACTGCCAAGGAAAAGATGGTTCTAAAAAAAATTTTTTATGTGAATAGCAACAACAGGGGGAGCTCTGATGATTGTTGGGATCAGACAGAACCCCTGTGGTGGTTCTGAAGAAAATCCCTTCTCTGGAGCCAGTGGAACATTTCCTCCCAATGCATAAAGCAACTCCAAAAGCACATATTTGAATAAGAACACATGAAAGGTAGAAAGGATTAAACTCCCCTTCACCACTGCTGTGTAATCCTGATCATTATCATACACACTCTATGAGTACTATTTGAATTTTTAAAATGTAAGCATTAAGTGCAAAAGTCCATTTAATGTCAATGTCTAAGTTGGCTCAGTCTCCATAATGTGTGGAACACCCCTAGGTCAATGACTTCACTCAGCCATTGCTTGCAAGGAGACTTCAAAGACATGCAGCTGTTACCACTTGAAACAGCAACTGGGGTAAAATGCAACCTGCACCATTATACTGCTATCCAAGACACCATTTCCTTAAAGAAGCCCCACTGAATATAAGTGGGATTATTTCTGAATAAATATAGACAGGGCTGCTCTGCCAGAAAGTGAGTGAATATACCTTTTTTGTGATGTTGTTTCCACTCTGCGCTTGAAGCATAAAGTCCACAGTCTGATCATCACTGAAGTAGCCTGGGGATGGCTGGCTGCAAAATTGAGGAAAACAACCATCAGAACCAAGAAGGAACAAGGAGGGAATCCTAAGTGACCATGTCCACACCCTCTGAGGTCATCTTTCTTTCATATCTGTGGTCCTACAAGCCCAGAGAAGGCCAGAACAGGTCAGTTGCTCATCCATCTACTAAGTCAGCCTGGCATGGGCAAAGACCATTTCTTGATGCAATTCTAGGAAAGTCACTTTCCTGTCCCTGCTAGAAACAATATTCAGCTTCAGCGTACAGCAGCCCAGGGACTGCAGAGGCCAGGAGAAAGATCACTCAGGCCCCATCCATTAGCTAAGCAAACAAGAAAATGGCCTCTAATTTCCATTCCAGTAGATACACTGCTAAAGGAAAATCAGCCTGATTTCAAGTGCATTTCAGTGTCCATTTATAGTTAACCACCTTGTGCTGAAAAACTGATAACTATAACAGAAACATAAAAACAAAGAGAGTCAGAAGGGGCCTTCTGGGCCATCTAGTCTGACCCCCGGCTCCATGTCATAAAACCACGTGAGTAGTGCAGATGCACATTACTGGTCATAAAATACCTTAAATTTTAATTTTGCCTTCCTGCCCCATTTACCCACAAATTACCCATTGAGGTAAATATGATAAACACAAGAGATCAAGAGCCCAAGATCATTCCGTGAACTTCTTGCAGAGTCAGGAGTTGAGCCTAAGTCTGCCCAGTCCAAATCCAGCACTCTTAATCAGCACAGCTCCAGCTGTGACACACTGTCCATTATGCGCTACAGGGTCTATTGGCACATGCATATTTACTGGCTGAACTGCCTCTACTGAGAATTTTGGTGTAGGTGAATACTCTTTCTTGGGTACTTTGTCTGTGCTTTCACTTTCATATATGTGGATCATCAATGAATGAACATTTGCACACTCACTCCTAAATTGGCCACTAAGAATAGAAGGCATCAGACAAAAAAAAGGTGGAGATGGGAAGAAGGTGATATATGCACCCTGCCACAGATGCATATATCAACCATCTGTCCTCAACCATCCACATATTCAGCCAGTACATGAAGGGGCTTCAGACACAAACTAATGTATGCTATGCATATGGAGCTTCTCCACACATCAGGGACCAAGACTGGGCAGGATGCTTCCTCATATGAAGGGCTATATGTACATATATCAGCATACACATATGCATCCCCATCAGCTAGGATTTGCTTTATTTAAAACTTATGCCCTGACATTCTACAGCAAGACATCCAAAGGGACTCTCTCCTTCTCGCTTGCTTGCTTGCTTGCTTGCTTGCTTGCTTGCCTCCCTCCCTCCCTCCCTCCCTCCCTCTGTGTGTGTGGGGGGGCAGTACATAATAAAATGAAAGTCATAAAACACACTGGCTGTCCATGATTTTTACTGTAAGCCACCTAGAGAGCCTTTGGGTAATAGGGTGGCATATAAATATAATAAATAAATCAAAAAGCTTTAAAAAGGCAGGAGCAACAACAAAACCAACTCTAACAGCTGTAGAATAAATAAAACAAGCCAGATATTTGGCTAGTCTTTCCTGCCCACTTGAAGGTCAAGAAAGAAGAGGCTAAGTGGGCTTCCCAAAGAAGCACGTGCATAACCTTGGCACCTGGGAATGAGCAACGTGGGTAGAAAGGGAAGTATAGGTAGGTGATGGACCTGTGTGGGCTGAAGATGCAGCATGTGTTCTCCACTGCCAAATTGTTCATATGTTTATATATTTCTGACATTTTCTTATTTACTTTTTCTTATTTTGCCTTTTACTTTCTTGGATCTCAGAAAGACAGTTTAAGGTCAAATGTAAATACAAATACACATGTTAAACATTGCAATCTTAAAAATAAACCCATCCATCAAATACTGTGCTGTCAGCTTTGGCAAATGCTTAGGAGAAGGATGTTCTACAGCTGTGGGGCTACGATCTTGACAGAGCATGCAAAAACAGCAGTGACAGCGTAAACAAAACCCAGCAACCTGTCAATGTCCTCTTGTGGTAGATTCCAGCGTGGTTCTAAGTCCTGTCCTCTCAGCAACGTCAGACCATGCTTAGTAGTAACAAGAAGGTCACTGCAGTTGCCATCTGGAGATTTGACTGCCTGCAGGAACTCAACACCACCACTGTGGGAGGCAGAGAGCAAATGTCAGGTGATGGGACATGCACCAGTTACTTCTGCTTAGGACACACAGGGTGCAGTCTTATGTACTTAAAGAGGGGGGAAAGGCCTACAACTCCCAGCATGCCCTTTTTGTTGGCCTTTTTTCCTGCACCTTTACTAACCCAGACAGATCAAGCATCAAACAACTGTTTCTAACGAGTTTCCCCCAGACCACTTGTACATTACACTTTTTGACCTGGGTCTCAGGAACCATGCAGACTCAGCCAGAGGCTACAAAGCTAAGGTTCAGGAGGTCAACATACTTCAACAACAAAACGGGAACAGCATCCCACCTGTAAATATCAATAAGTTCAGACAAATTGACTGAACGGCGCTTCTCCCACTCTGGCTCTTCTCGCTGCAGCACTGCTGGGAAGCTGTCGCGGTTTCTAGCCTGAGCAAATATATCTCTCAGAGCGACGGCTTGGACATTGCCTAGGCGACAAAGAGAAGCAAAGACTGAAATTCTGGTGCATCTGGAGAAAGCAGATGTGTACCAGGATCAGGGAAGGAGTGGAAAAGAAGCACTTGCCAGCTGCTCCACTTCCATGAGGGCCTTTCCACATCTTTAGTCAAAACATTTTCCCACTATATTCTAGCCCTTGCACTGCAATCCTGCAAGCCTCTCTTTGGTGGATTCTGCTGCCTCCCTGACCCCTCACAAGGGAATGGCAAAACCTGAATATGTACTCAGCAGAACACATACAACAGTCAAAGCATGATTCAACCATGTTCTCAGACAGCCCGGCTGCCTCAGCAACCCTTCAGGGCTGCAGTTGTAGTCCAACCCAGGATACCAGGATGGGGAAAGGTTCTTCTAGCATTTGCAAAATACTTCTCCAAAGTCTCTGTCAATAATAGCCTTGTTCAGGTGTGAAGCCATAAAAGGGTATTTAAAGGCATGCAAGGGACAGATTTTTGCCTGTGCCATCCCATCAGTCCCCAACCTCCCTGTGCAGATTAGCAAAGGCAGTCCAGGAAAACCCAAGCTAAACTAAAACATCAAATACTATGGAAATGAAAGCTGGTATATGCATTGGAAGAATGAAACTTCAAAGTGTATCCATATCCTACACATAATAAAAACAGATGGCAAATGGAAAAAAAATGCCATTTTCCCTGGCACAAAAAGATGCCTGCTCAGGTTGCAGAAAAAGTGTGTGCATCACACACATGAAAAACAGATTGTTCAGAAAGTGTCTGAGACAGACCTCATGTGGCAAATTCTGCTGGGCAGCTTTTCATGTGCTAGATTCCTTCCAGGTGAGTTTGTCATGTGCTAGTTGCAATTCCAGGTGATTTTTTATAACTGACTTCCTGGCTGTTTGGATTCCAGTGCCTAGAATCCAAAAAGCATATCAGCCTGCCCAAGATAGTATGCAGCAGATTTGTTGGATTTCAGCTCCCATCATTAGCTGATATACTACGAATAAAACATGTTTCACCATTTTTATGAGATTCTTGGAAAGGGAACAAGAAGATTAAAAGAAAAATGCACTATCTGCACCCCAAATCTGGGAGTGATGGGAATTACAGTCCAGCACAAATGGAGGATACCAGGTTAGGAATGGCTGAGGAAAGTGGTAGGTCATCCATAACTGCTCACGCCCTCTGTTCTGAACATGCAAACCTCATTCCATTTTCTGCCACGCTCTTTTCCATCTCTTCTCACACTACTTACTCCCACATATCTGCCTGTTTCCTTCTTGGACCACCTTCACCCTGTCTCTTCCTCCTTTTCCAGATCAATTACCTCATTAGTAATTCAATTTCACTTTCTCACTGCACCCAAATTAGACACCCTGGAACTGGAGAGGTGGGGAGCCTAAAACCCTTGCCACAGATATCTGTCTAACCCTACCAGGAAACATGAGATAAACTTGCTCTAGGTCCAACGCAGCTATAGAATGAGATCCAGGAGAAATGGCAGGGCACCTTACCAAAACCAAATAGGATGTAGATTGCTCCGTGGCTGGTGATGTGGGCCTGAGGGCCAATCAGCTTTCCATTTCCATTGGTGCTGTACTTTACAGGCCCTCCCACAGGGCTACCAGTTTTGCCTGACACCAGGATGAAGCACAAGTCTGGCTACAGAGAAGAGAGAAAGTAGGTGGGATTGTGGAAACAGATTTGCAAGTATAAAGAGCTTCTTTGCCCCACAGTGCACCATCCTCTTTGTACAAGGCCCTTGATACAGCATTTGACAGCTGGTAGCCTTCAACCTGCCAAACTGAGGTTTTAAAACTCTTTAATTAAAAGTTCTGCAAGTGGCCCAGGGTGGCAGAGAGGATAGAGGGGTTAAAGATGAAAAAGAATGATCACATCCAAAGGAACGGATGAATTGGAAGAATGACCAGACAATTTCAATGGTTTCTTACTTTTCAACAATTATTTTATTCCACTCTGCTTTTCTGGACCGTGGAACAAAGCAGGGAAAGGAAAAAGTATGGAAGACTATCATCTATCCACACACAATACTCTGTCCCAGCCTTTTTCAGCCTAGCTTCAGGCAGGGGATGATGGGAAATTGCAATCCAACACATCTAGAAGGCATCAACTTGAAGAAAACTGTTCTAGGGGGATCATATCCCTCTCCTTACTGTCACATATATCAGATCATGTATCATATACCTGGGTTTCTCCAATGGCAAGAACCACCAAATCACCAACCCTATCTCCATCCACATCTGGTACAGGAACAGCTGGAGCAGCCAAGGTTCCACTAGGTAGGTGGGACGAGTCAAGTGTCCAAATGGATTTCCCTACAGGATGACAGAGAATGATATCAATCCCAGCAAGAGACAGAATGAATGGGAGTCCACAAGAGACTCAAGGAAATCCTCATGTAGTGAGGGAGAGGATGAGACAAGAAGGTTACTGCATATCACAAACTTTAACTAAGAGAAGGTCAGGCTCACCAGGTTGGTGAGGCACAGTATAAAAAAGAAGCACATGACATCGATAATGGCTTGGTCTTTACATTAATACGCATCTCCAGTATTCCAGTAATACTTTAATTATTGTTATTTTAATTGTGTTTAAAGTGATTTGTTATATGTTATGCTACTTAAGCATTTGTTTTTAAATGTATATTTTATTAACCAAATTGAGTATCATTTTGGGTAGAAAGATGGAATATAATAAACAATATTATAAACAAAATTTATACAGACAAAACTGCTATAATCAACTAAGGCCCTTTGCTAGCTATGTGGGACAACTTATTTGTCTGCTGATATCTATCCACATTTCTTGAGATTCACCTGAGGAAGCACTCAGAAGACTGAGGAATTTCGAAGTCCCTGTAATGAGGCAGACTGGCTCCACCGAGGACACAAGATCCAAACCTTTACACTGCACACTCCGAATCTCCTCTTTTACATGACTGGACCACAGGGTGCTGCCATTCATCCCCGAAAGGGCCATTACCGTGACCCATGGCTTGGAGACACCTGAGGACACATAAGTGCAAAAAGGCAGTCAGCTCTTTTTGTAGCATGAAAGACGTCTGCAGCTGAGCTTAGTTGCCATCTTTGATCATCTCAAAAGCACCCGTCCCCAGTGCTGATTACTTCAGCTGGGAGTCCCCACTTACATCCCAGAAGAGCATGTCCCACTGAGATCAGTAGGACTCAAATGCCCAAGTTGGTGAACACAGAATTACAGCCATAGGCTGTAAAAGCATTTGCTACCCCACCCTGGAGATGTGTTGCAGTATGATGCTCATCATCACAGCCAGCACAGCCCTTTAATGGGGATGATGGGACTTGTACTCCAGCACATATGGAAGGCACCGGGTCAGGGAAGTCTGTATTAGTTTGTTTACTCTTTTTCTGTACCACCCAAAACCTGAAGCTCTCTGAGTGGTTCACAAGAATTAAAATCATAAATCGCAACATAATATAAGTGTTTAAACCTACAGTATAGAATAAATAATGTCCAAATAAAACCCAGTAGTAGTGCAAAAATTCAACATTCAGTAACAGATCTAAAACAACAAAAGTAAAAGACTGAAATACCCGGGGAATAAGGAGGTCTTCACCCGGCACCGCAAAGAGTACACTGCAGGTGCCATGGAGCCTCCCTGGAGCTCATTCTGCCAGGCCAGGCACCCCATCAAGCTCAGTGGGCTTCTTTCTCAGAGCCACCAGGGGATCCTGCTGCACGGGGATGAAGGGCAGCGACTGCAGGAAGGCTCCTATTTGATGCACACTGACAGTACTGGGCGCTTCTAGGAATTTCTAGTGCTAAACTACTCACGGTCCTAAGTTGTCTCCACTCCTGCTAAGTACCTTGTTAATTATTTGATAATTGAGGAAACAAGCAAATTCTTCCCTGAGCTGCCTGCTGAAGCACTCTGGAAAAGTATCTTTCAGATTTCTGTTATAGTGCTTTCCCCTCCACTGTTTGACTAAGCTTGCCTTTCTATAAATACCATCTTTTATTAACATTTAAATATTTATTCTAGTGAATAATCTCATAAACAAAATTGAGCACAGAAGTAATGTCCAGGCTTCTGTCTTGTTTATCCAGTGAAGGGCCTTGTTTCCAAAAAGCTCATGTCTATAGCAGGCTTCCCTAATCAGGTTCTCTCCAGATGTTCTGGACTATAATTTCCATTACCCTGACTACTGACCACTGGGACCACTACTTCAGAAACACACAGATTACAATTCCTTCTTTTTAGATGGGGTGTTATTTTACAGTTACTTCCACTGTTTGTTCCATGTGTTCAAAATAATGCATGGACAGGCTGGAACTGAAAGTGCTGCTTACACCCCTAGTGTTACCACCCTGCAATCCCCTGCCAGCTCCTCTGATCGTGTGTGTTTCCATCACACACTGGGGGTAAGGTGTGGAGAATGACCCTAGCACTCTACATTCACTGGCTCCTTCCTCAGACCTTAAGTTCAGCATGCAGAAATCTGTGGGGTGAAGCCAGAGGAAATGACAGTTCTAGATGAAGCCTGCGTACACAGTCCTGCCCTTCCACGTGTGAAACAAACACATGCTGAATTGGGTTTCTATGACCCACCAAAACATTCACTTCCACATTCTATCCATTCTGCAATTCTCACATGACCATGTTCCACAGTCCACACAAAAATGATCTTTGCAACACAATACAGAGTAACTATGTCCAAATGACTGTCAGGCAAGCACAACGGGAGGCTGTTCCATTAAGCAGGATGGCCATATTAATTACCATCCCAAATACACACACACACTTCTAAAACCCTGAGGTTGATAAGAGGAAGTATGAAAATGCAGTTTGATCCTCTAAATGATGAAGCAACACAAACACAACCCAGCAAAGCCTGGAAGGTGGGTATTTGGGTGCTTAAGTGACACATGAAGGGGTACTCCTGTGCTCGGGCACAGACCTTGCAAACATTGTTGAGATCAATCATACTAGGAAGCTTGAACAGGAAAAGTCAGAAGTACAGCCTCAAATAACTTTAATTTCACATGCGATATAGGGAAGTCACTGAGCAGTAATGGAATTTGGCAGATCAGAGAGTATATCTCTCACCATCACAAACAGTATCTTAAACTTCCCCAAAAGCACCAGTTACACAAATCACTATGTAATTATATGGGCTATAGAGTCATCATCTGATACATGCATAGATATGTATGTGTTTGTTTCTTGTTTCTTGGGTACAAACAGAACATTTGGACTAACTGGAAAATACTATATACCTGAAGCAAAACCTCTGCCAGGGTTATGCCCATTTGGGTGGTATTCCATAAATGAGAGACAAATGTGTATTGATTTATTTTCCCTTAACATAGCTGATTATGTGGAAAGACGTAAAACAAAAGAAGTTATCATGGAGACATGGAGCAACATGCAGGCAGGCAAATATCTCATGTTCTTGCTGACCAATATAAGCCAATAGAAGGTATGAAGAGCATGCTATAACATAATATAACATGGTTGTACACAGAGAAACCTCACACTGTTTTGGGATTAATGGCAAGGATCTGCATGCTTACCTAACACACTAGCATTTTTCAGAGCTGTGAAGGAAAGCAGGATGTCAGGAAGACCATCACCATTTACATCAAAAAGTTCTGGCGGAAACAGCACTCCCCCTGCAGAATACGGAGAAAGAAGGTTTCTTTTATAACTTTCCTATTATCCTGAGTAGATTCTGGATGACCTAGACATGGTTCTCATTAACACCTTATGCTAGCTGTGATGTCACTACTTTCTACGGCTATGCCCAGATAGACATATTTCTTTAGCACTCCTGATCAAATGGCTTGTGCTTTCCCAGTGCTATATTAGTTTTCTTCACTACCCCATAATACACAAATACAAGGAATGGTTTAGACAAGAAAATGCTCTTGGTAATGGCTGAATGGACAACATACATCCACTAAAAATTTAGCAAGGATTTTTGAAGTGTAGTGTTCAAGATATGTGTTCCACCATATATATTTGTACATGAAGGGAAAGGGGAGGAACCAGTGAGAGATACTATGTTTGAAGTGGCCTAAATTATCTTAAATAAGGACTGTAAAGAATGGCAGTCAGAGGTTAGCCACTGAAGCAAAACTGCTGCAAAGACTGTTTCCTTCTGTGATAAAACTCCAAAATATCCTTTATTTCATTCTTTCTTTCAAGAACGTCACGGATCTATATAAACATCATTGAATATTTCTCAGAACATGAAGAAAGAAAACAAAAGGGAATTATGGGAGTTATAGTCAAACACATCTGGAAGGCACCAGGTTGGGGAAGGCTGATGCAATAAGATCACAACTGAACTTTTGTCATTCTGATGATGTTCTAAGGGGAAATGAGAGGATCAAAAGAGAAACATGTTATTTGCATTCTAAACAACAACTTTGCAAAATGACATCGCTAGCTACACAGATAGGTAGTGGAGCAAGTAAGAAATAAAGCTGGATAATTGTTTAATCTCCTAGTAGGATGGATTGATTTAATGGAAGCTAAACCATCAATTTAACTCATCAGCCTGAGCACTTCTATTCAGATCATCAAATTTAATCAACCTTTCCACATGTAGGCCAATCACTTTGAAAAGATAAGGACATTCTTATTAGTTACCTAACCATTAAAACTCATTGACTTCCATCTGCCTTTACCCCTCAATCTACTTTGTGTTTTTTGCTGTCTAGAAGGGTATAACCTACTGTACTCCAAATCTTGCCAAAAGGGTATAACTTTGTATACTGTGATTGGTATACAAGTTAAATAAGTTTATGTACAATATTTATTTCAGTTTAAGATTTGAAATGTGGTGCTTGCAGAATTCGGGACTGCAGCACAAAGAACTATACATTTGGAATTAATTAGATTTGATTTCAGTTTGCTTTTATTAAACTGAAATATCACTGTTAAATAAGTATACTTGATGCTGTGCAAAGTGGCTTAGCGTATGGGAGCTAGAAAGGAGCTAAAAAATGGGAAAATCATTGCTTAGAGTCTGGGGCAGTCATTTATTATTTATTTAACCAGATCTGGAGTTCCTATAGCAGCACTCATGGATGCTCCAGCATTGTCAAATACCTCCTCTGGGATTCACCAAGAGCCTATGCCCCTCCAGAATATTGTGTCTGCATGAGTTGCCTCTTTGGCAATTCACTTGTGTTTTGGTGGGTGAGTAGTGTTGCCTGATTATTTGCTGTGTATCTGTTCCCTTTTGTGTCTATGGGACTTGGACGGAGGCTGCCTGGGGCTTTGGGGGAGGGAAGATTGGGGTAGATGCTGCCTGGCTGGGGGTGGGGTCTGATTTGGGGAAAGAATATGAACTACATTGTGGGAGGATATTCCTGGGGTTTTTGTGTGTTTTCAGGGTAGTGTTGCCTTGGTTTACGTTTTTAGGGTGGATGGCTTGGTTGGGGGCTGTTCCTCTGAATATCACTAGTTCTGGAACACTGGTATTTTGTATAATGAAATATCAGCTTTGGCATTTGAGGCCCAATCTCAGTCTCAACTTTGTATTCTGTTTCTTGGGCAAGTTTCTTGTCTTTTGTAACTATTACACTATTTTTATAATGAGCCAGCAGCTATTTTGCGATGGTGCCCTCAGCTGTTTCTCAGATTTTGAAATGGGTTCAAGGGCCGAAAACATTTGGAGAGTCCTGAATTACATTTATGTCCCATCCTTTATCCAAGAAACTCAAGGTAAAGTACCTAGTTTCCCCATCTCTTTTTATCCTTGCAACAACCCACTGAAGTAGGCTAGAATGAGTGGTAGTCACTTGCCCATCCTCAGTCAGGGATGGACAGGGATTTTTACAGGATCTTCATAGTCCAACTACTGTACTACTTTAATTAATGTGCTGAATTGGTATTGGGAAATGTGAAAGGATCAATTTCCATTATCAATTCAAAACACCAAGTCTTTAGTTATAGGTCTGTAGGTGATCTTTTGCTTATCTACCTTTTACTGTCTTTCAATGGTATTTCCATGAAGAAACATTATCCTCCAACATGTTTTTGGTGAGCAACAATGAGCATACAATGATCTTTTTTTCTCCACTAAACCCTTCACACACTATCTCATTTGGATGCCCATTCCACAAGGCAGGGCAGATGTGGCCCTTCCAGATTCTTACCTGCTTCCTGACCCAAGTTGCGAATCCAAGTATTATGCAAGTCCCTTGGAGGACAAGGAATGAGGAAAGCACACACTAGCACAAGGATCATGGAGATAACCACGGTGAGCAAAAATATTGCTGTGCGCAAGTAAGGCATCAAGGAATTGGCTGTCTTCTGTTGCAAATTCCTGGTGGTCTCGCTAGGATAGTCCTCTGACATACCCTCAGGGAGATGCTGCTTCGTCATCCCAACCTCCACATCTGAGTCCACATCCTGTACCTCCCCCAATGAACTCTTTCCATTTTTGACTCCACCGTTCTTCTGCAAGTTGAGCACAAGGTCATCTTCACTTTCATCACTGTCAGCTTGGGTGAGGGGATCATATTCTCCAAGATCTGGGCTTTTTTTGCCTGCAGAATGAGATCAGGAAAGATAACCAATCATGGCTGAAAGGGAACAGGGGGATTTTAAAAACTTTAGCATGCTCAGTTCCCCTAAAAATGGTCTGCATGAAAGGGAAGTCAATTTTCAGTTCAGGGTCAAATATGCTGGATGAAACTGATGATGTAAGACAGAAGGAAAGGCTGCTCTGTGTTTTCTGAGATTCAGTGTGGCAAAAGACAGGGTTCAATAGCTTATTATTCCTCAAGGAAGAAGGAGTGACATAATTTACCAATTCCTTCTAATGGCTTCAAGCTCTGTAATGAGAAATGAGTCTTGCTAAAACCTATACATACCAGCATTCTGCCCTTTACCCATCTTTCTGCTGAAAAGTAAACAAGCCCTTACTTGTTTGCAAAGTGCAATCAGTACACAATTTCTCCACCTTAAAATGTATTATCTCCACCATATCCCACCTTTCATCAAAACTGGCATTAGGACAGCTTCCTCAACCTGGCACATTCCAGATGTGCTGAACTGCACTTCCCACAATTCCCAGGATATGTTTACTCAATGAAAGGCACCAGATTTTTGTTTTTTCTTTTTCCAGATAATGGTGATTTCATGTTCTTGCAAAGCAGTACCTTAGTTCCATATTGAGGAATCTCCAGATATTTTATCTGCATGGAATGTGAGCTGAACATTGGGTGACTTGGAAAACATTGTGTCAATGTAAATTTCATCTGCCTGTTATTTTAACATGATTAATTTTCCTAATCACATAAAGATATTAAATTAGATGCCAGGTGCACTTTATTTCATTGCTCAAAGCTCTGCAATGGCATGAGACAAGTCCCTGGAAAGAATTCAAGAAGCTCCTTTCTAGGCATATAGTGAGAAAATGCAACAATATATGCAAAGAACAGTGTTGTGCTGCATCACCAGCATGCTCCCCCTGCTATATACGAATACAGCCCATTTCCTTCATGTTTAAGCAATTTCCTGTGGATCAGCAGAGCAGCAGATAGTGGGGATTGGGAGAGAGAGGCTGAAACCTCCCTTCCATGCAATCTCCCCACCCCACTCCACATTGTTCAGCTGATCCATAGGAAACAGCAAAGATACAGAGTAAACAGGGCAGTGGAAGCAAAGCCAAGAGACATGACTGGCCAGATGGAAGGCCTAACATGGTCCATGGGCCATTAGTTCCCCACTGCTTTTTACCGATTCACAGTTGCTGTCCTAACTGCATTTAGTTAAAGTCTCCAGCAGCTCCTGAGCAGCAAACCTATACATTTTATCCTAGATCTATGGGCTCAATAGATCATGTAATTCAAAATATTTATATGCCATCTTTCATTTTTCAAGTGCAACCCAAATGTTCAGTATCTGCTTCAGATCAACAGCTAATGCTTCATCTACCACCAAAGGATACTTCACATTATTTAACAGGATAATAAATAAGAATATTAAACACCTTATTGAAGATGCAGAGATGGTGGTGGATGAGAAAGATTCCAGTCCATACCAATCACACTCCCTTCAGAAACATAAGCTTAGAAAGGGATGGATGAGTGGTGAGTGAGCAGGGGAATTTGAGAGAATGTGATGAAAAGGGAGGTTTGAATCAGCAGAGTGCTCCGCTTAGCGGTCTGCCTTTGGCTTGGTCCTACACATGAAGCAGCAGACCTCTGAAGTGCCAGAACATGTGCACTGTAGATTGAGGACAGCCTTTTTCAATGTCCCATTTAAAAATCTACTTAGAAGTAAATAACAGCAAATTATTTCCCTCAGCAAATCATGAGGGAAGTTCCAATCCAGCCCTCTCCTTATTATGCTAGTTTTTTTCTCATAGGAATTTTTCAAATAGCAAGCATTTAAAAAATGATTACCTACCTACACTTTGAAGTACTACAGACCATTCTGTCACCACAAAATTCTTTCACCTTATTTTGTTGTAACTAACTTTGTAACCTGTTTTAGCTACATTACCTTGATAAGCTGGAAAATTTATTTACAAGAAAGAAGTTTATACTTCATCAAATCGTGAATGAATAGATCCAACACTCTTGCTTATTCACAAAGCCATTTTTCCCTTGAAAAGCACCAGTAGTCACATCACAATGGGATTATTTATTTTCAATTTAAACAACTGAATTAAACAAATAAAGGAACAAATTTGTTTGGGTTGCATATATTTGGTATGGAGACAATTTGTACAAATGAACTGGAGGAAAACTAATTGGTTTGGATTTTGGTGTCATTTAAAATGGAAGTGGCTAATGTAGGGAGAATGAGTAGGGGGAGCTGAATTAAAGAGAGTGTTAAACTACTACACATACCCTGGGCCTACAGGATAGAACATTTTCCAGAAAAACAGACACATTAGTCTTTTGCAACCAAAACTACAGTGTCTTGTGGCACCTTAAATACTAATACAGTATGGTCCACCTTATCAGATTCATGAAGACTGTACAGTCAGCCTATCAAGTGAAGAATGAACTAGTGGCTATGTTATTCAGGCTCTATCTGCTGACTTGTAACCACAACCACAAGTGCAAGAAAAATCAACACAAGTAGATAACTTATAACCCCATATATGTTTTCACCCACAACACTTAGCTGGGACTCATGGGAACTGTAGACTGAAACATCTAAAGGGCCATCTGGAAAGGTGTACAGAGAAGCAATGTTCTCTTTTTCTAGTGGAAGGTGCCTTCCTCCAGCGTAAGGAAGCCATTTGCTTGATCCAAGGGAAGTGTTTTCTTGTTAATTGCTTGAAAGCTGTGAAGTCTCCTACTCCAGCACTGAAGACCATATGGCCCCTCAATGCAATAATAAATTATTATGATTATCAGCAGCAGCAATAGCTACAACAGCATTTTTACTCTTGAAATGAAAAAAGATTCCCACTGCTATTTACAAAAGTAAATAATAGGGCAGGGAGTATCTAAAAAGCACACAAGAAAAGGGAGATTGGAAAAGGGGGGGGAGCAAATACAACCCCCCCCCCCAAAAAGCTATCTGTTAATGTGCCTCCTTGAAAGCCAATGCAAAGCTGACAAGCCCTCATAGCAAGCCATTCTCTTTCCAATCTATACAGTCTCTTCTGGAACTTTGCAGGATTTCAAACGAGATTGGATAAAGTGGGGAAAATGCAAGTTAGGCACATATTGCAAGTACTGTGTAAATAAGTCAGAGTAAGAAGAAAACTAACAATCAGGAAACGATTATATTGTTGGATACAAAGCAGAACACATTGCTCTTTAAATCAAATTTAAAGGAGGACATGACTGCTTTACTGATTAACAACGTTTCATAGTGGATAGCTAAGCAGCTGTGATGGGGCCATATGAGTGATGCTGTGGCTTCTTCAAGCCAATGGAAAAGTGCCACATCTCCTTTCTTCTGGGTTCTATTTTGCCAGGAACTCGAAGAACTATGCCAAGCCAAGCATGAAAGAGGAGTGCAGCACTTGGAGCCAGCAGAGTTATTAGTCCAATTCCTGCATAAGAGATGACAGGGCTCTCTTCTACTAGCTTAGTTTCGTCATACGTACTGTCTTCACTTCTAACTCAATTTCCCACCTTGTCTTCTAAGTGACAAATCCCAGAGCTGGAAATATATTGTTCATATCTAAATAGCATCCAGTTTATGATGTCACAGATCAGAACAGAATGCTGAATTCTAAGGTGCAGCTTCAAATTCTCAAGTTTGATTGCTTTGAATCCAACAGGCACTCCAAATCAAGTTATACCCCAAATTCAAATATTTCATCTGCTACATCTGCAATGTTCCCTACCAGACCTGTAAATGGAGATATGGAAGAGATGTTCTCTTATTTTTTAACACAGCAACATTTATCTTGCACTAAACAGCAGGAGTTCCTTACATGTCTGCATAAAAGTATACATATGAACTTAAGGCATATGCAAACTGTCTGTGGAAACCAGTATTTATTTAATTAATAAATAGGTCTAATTATTTAGAGTCAGTATATTATTTGTTTATTTCTGTATTGTCCAATAGACAACACTGCTTGGGCTGTTCACAAAACCAGCAGGTGCTTCAATATGCTGACTTGGTGGGAGGATGCAGTGCTCTTGGAATGCCATGAACATCTCTTACTTCTGGTTTGGTTGGCCAGAGGTGCTGGGGAGCACAAACTGTACATCTGCATGCAGGATTGCAGTCTTACCACCAATTAAAATGCAAAAGAAGACAAACAGGTTAAGAGGTTGAGTGGCACTCTACCAAATACTGGGCAGCATATGCCAAGGTGTAAAGAGGAATGTATTATTCATTAACCTTTGTACAGCAGCATGATCAGATGTCCTGACTACAGGACAGAAGGCTTCAAAGGACAGTAGCTTAATTACAGGGAAGGCTCCTGAAGTTTAAGAGATGGATGAGAAAACCTCATCGTTAGGCCAGCTTCAACATATCCAACAGCTGTCACCGCGACTTGGATTGAGGTCTGTTCATTTGTGGCTTCCAGGACTTAACAGTTCCTCAGGTAATGTCTCATCTCCCAAAATAGCTAGCTCATGAGCAACTGTCAAAGTTTGCAAAAATGCTGGATGAAAATATTGTGATCTGAAGTGAAGGTTTACCTCAAGTGCTCTCTCACACCCATAAGCACCCTGCCTCTTTTCCAGTCCTTCTCCCATTTCCCTCTTTGCAGCAAAACAGCATCTATTTACCTTCCACTCCTACAGCTTTCGCCCATCATTTTCCCGAAGACCAGTAATGCCCTTCTCCCTCCCTCCAGGGTAGCCCCCTTCTCCCTCCCAACAAGGGCTGTATCAAGCCTTGCCTGCCATAACAAGCGCTCGCTCCCTCCCATCGTCAGCATCCATGTGTAAAACATCCTCCCCCACCCCACAACACCGGCAGGTGGAAAGATCCTGTCTTTCTGACCAGAGATGGGGGGCACCTTCTGGGACCCGGATGCGGCGGGCGGGCGAGACGAGGCGGGGGGGGCGAGGTCGGCTAGACTCTGCCCGGGCGGGGCCCGGATGCTCTCCCCCTCAAGGAGCCCAGGGCTGCAGCGCCCCTGCGGCCTCTGCCCCCGCTCCTTCCCCGCGCTTCACACGGCGCCCGACGCGCCGCGAGGCAAGACCCTTACCTGGCAGCTTCAGCGCCCGCGACAGCACAGTAGCCATGCTGGAGCTGAGAAGCGCGCATGCACGCGGCTCTTTTGCCTCCTGGGAAGTGTAGTTCTGCACCAAGGCTGACTACAGGTGTGGATCACTAGCGCGCCTGGCGCAGCAGTGGGAAAAGAATAAATGCTACGCGGCTGGGGCGCAGAGCCGACTTTCTCCCTTTGTCATAGCCTCGCCGCTGGGTGCCAGTGACCACTGGAAGGAAATGAGGGCTGCTAGCCGGAAGTGTACAGAAATAAACAGCTGAGAAGACTTACTGATTTAATAGGTTCAACTGAAGTCGATGCAAGCCACAAATAAAGCAAAGAGAGGCTTCTGAAAAGATAGGCTCTCCAAGATAGAAAGGACTAATAATGCGCTTCTGTTATTAATATGACGATTGCTTTCATGGGATTTAAATATATTCTTGTCACAGGAATGGCAATGATTTGTATTACTCCTTCTGTACCTAGGGAAAGAGTGAAGCTTTCACTGTACCAGGTGGCTAGACCTCATGATCTCTAGCGAGGTCCCCTTGGAATGTCGCGGAGGAGACAAGTGTGGCATGCATTTGTGCTTAAGTGCTTTTTGCTTCATTGCAAGGTATTGCGGGGGCGGGGGGGGGGGGGGAATGATGTTAGCATTACAAGATTTTATGAGCTTCCAGATGCTAATTTGCCTCAGTTCAGTGTAGGAGAGTTAGACTCTAAAACGCTAAGTTCTGTCTAGCCTCCTTGACCTACACTGATTGGATAAACAAGTAAAATACAAAGAACAAAGGATATGGAAGATTTGCTATCAAGGTTTTTCCACATGTTTATTTTATTGCAAAATAAATGTGCCATCGTCATGCAAGTGTCCTAGGGGATCCAACGTTTCCCACAACTTGGATCTGAAAACATTTTCCCAGATTTCTCACAATAATATTGTATTTACAGGAGAGAAATTAGTTTTACTCTAACCACTGTGTTTGTTGCCATTGTACATATTGTGTGCAATGTAGGTGTAGAAATGTTATAGGCACCAACCTACCCCTAGTGCTGAGTGATACTTTATTTTATCTTGTTACTTTTACAGTACCTTGTAGAAATCACCTTCTTTTTGACTTTTCCACATTTTGTTGTGTTACAACCTGGAGCTGAAAATGATTCAATTAGCACTGTTAACCATTTAAGTAGACAAAATACTCAACACTGCTGAGGTGCAAAATATGTTTATTGTAGCACAACAGTTAAGCAAACAAACAGACAGACACTTGTTGGTTGCATAGGTATGCACCCCCTTTGCTGTGACATGCCTAAATAAGCTCTGCGCAACCCCTCGCTTCTGGAAATCACAAAAGGCAAGTAACTGTATGGAATTCAGCCATTCAGTGCCAAATGATCTCAGATTAAATGAACTTTTTTCTGGAAGATCCCCGAGTTTGTTGGATACTATACCTAAACAAACAGCATCATGAAATTCCAGTTATCAAAATAACTCCAAGATAAACTTGTGCAAAAGTGCTAGGCAGAGTTGTTTATGTACCCCAAGCTATGTACATTGCACAGAGCACTGTTAAATCCATAATTTGCAAGGCTTTGTTGTGATGGGGCGGCATAGAAATGTTTTAAATAAATAAATAAATTATAAAATTGAAAGAATATGGCTGAACTCCATCCCTGGAGCAAGGATGTCCACCAAAAGTCAGCAATGAGGCAAAGCTGGAGCAGTTTTGTTACAAAGAATGGACAAACATTGTAGAAGCCAGATGTGTAGAGCTGATAGAGACTTACTCAAGAAGACTCATGGCTGTAATCAGTGCCAAAGGTGCTTGTACAAGTATTGACTCAGGAGGATGAATATTTACACAACCAACAAGTGCCAGTTTGTTTTTCTGTAATCCTTTGTTCTGCAGTCATAATATTTTGCACTTTCACAGTATTGTGTTTGTCAAGTGGTAATAATGCCAATGAAATCCATTTCAGTTCCAGGTTGTAACACAACAAAATATGGAAAAGTCCGAGGAGGAAGGATGCTTCTGTAGGGCACTGTATTTGTAACCCATCTTTTTCCATGTCAGAAAGCCAAGGTGACTTATATAATCCTCTCCCTCTCCATTTTATCATCACAACAGTCCCAAGGAAAATGCAGCTGAGAGGCAGTGAGTGGACCAAAGGCACTCAGTGAGCTTTGTAGCCAAGTGCGGGGCCAGAATCCAGATTCCTGAGTCTCAGTTCAACACTCTATAACTGCTGCACCGCCTCCTTCCTCCACTCCTCCACCTTGGCATTTTATGGGAGAACTCATGACAAACAGCAGACATCAGCAACACTAGCCTTGATGCAACCTGCATCTGTGCCTTGCTTTTCATCGACATTTTTATTGTTCACTTTTTCTTCTGTGACTCATAGGAAGGAAAGGTTATCCATCGGACTATTTTCCTGCAAGTGATCCAGTGAAATGAGTGGAGCTGTGGAAAAGCAGAGCAATGTTCCCCATTTGTTCATAGAAGCTTGAGTAAACGAGCTTTCTGATGACAGCTAGATGTGTGGGACTGCAATTTCCACTACCCCAACCAGCATGCCCATGGCTGCTGGGGATGACAGGCATGCTAGTTAAAGTCATCTGGATGGCATCAAGTTGGGGAAGGTTGCCAGACTGTGCCTTCTGCTTTGTCCAAAGAGCTCCCTCTTCTACATCTTTTATATGCTCTCTCTTTTAAAAGGCAGGAAGATTGTTGTCCACGTAGAATCCTTTTGTGGTAGCTTAGCCTTTCTCATGCATTATGCAGAAATGAGATAATATACCACTGCAATTTATGCCAGGGTTAATGCTGCTGTAACACAGAGGATAAATCAGTTAAAATTACAATAGCCACAACAGAAAAGGACAGTATTTTCATAATGAACTGCCAGAATTTGCTGAGATTTTGAACTATTAATGCTATAACATAAATCTACTTAGCTAACATAAATCCATATAAAAGCATAGTGTGATCCACTAGGTATAGTAAGATGTCCAAAGGAAAAATAAATATATAGTTTGCTGTTGCTCATTTTGATTCATCCTTTCTCTTATTTATTACTACATTTATATCCCAACTTTCTTTTCCTTTACCTGGTCTTCTTGCTCTGTATTTTGGACTTCTCTGCATGAAGCATTCACTGTGTGTCAGTAATTCATCACCCATTGAATTTTGTGCCTCTTCTGTATTTTCCAGCTTTTCTTAGCACAAGGAAATTCAGCTATTAAAATTTAAACCAGAACAAATCAGAACAACAGCCTCATATGGAGCTGTACTTCTGCTATACTGTAGCTATTCCATCATGCCAGCTTTTGTTTGATTCATAGAAATACAAACCTGTAGGTAGAGAGAAATCTGTGGGAAGGATGCATTATTTTTCTACCCACAATGAACACGAGAGAAGAAACTTCAGTAGAGTAGTGGGCTAAATACCTCCTGTAGAGAAGTCCTTTATGCTCAAAACAACCTTGTGAGGTAGGTAGGCTGAGGTCAGTGGCTGGCCCCAAAACACCTAGTAAACTTCATGGCTGAGTGGGGGCTAGCACCCAGAGCGCCTGAGTCCCAGTCCGGTATTCTTACCACTGAACCACATGGGCCCTTGTACATGGAAAGGCAAGTCCTTTGAAGCCTGAAACCACTTTTTAGCATCACATCTCATCCTAGGAGATGGGCTACTTTTTAAAAATCCTTTTAGCATGTGTGCAATGCCAGCAACTCTGTACGGGAAAGACCTTTCATAACTGGGCACCATTGTTGAGAAAGCCCTCTCCCTTGTCAATGACCTTCTTTCCTTTGATGGAAGAAGTGTGTGGAGAAAGGCCTCGGCAAAGTATAGATTTGGAGAAATGGGAGGAGGCACAGCTTCCACTTAAATGAAAATGTGCTAAAGACAAGTCCCTAAAGATTCTGAAAGGCAGCCCTGATGCTCTGTCTGACTGCTCTCCTATGTACTGAAAAGATTCCCTGTTTAAGTTTTCCCTACTGCAAGGACCTGGGTTAGCTGATAGTATTATATAGTATACGAGGCAGAAGGCATAGGGTGCTTCCAGACTAGATTGTTATTGTGCATTTGCATTGATGTGTGTGTGGCGGGGGGGGGGGGGGGCAGTCTGGACATCATTTTCTATTTGTAACCCTACCATCGTCCCCCATTGCTTCCTCTCTCTTTTGCTTAGCACAAAATAAAAATAAATCTGTTAAAGAGGGAACAAGAAGAATAGCCAAACAACCTTTTGACTTGTTGGTAGCACTAGGAGCTGTCCCTCTGGAAGTACCCATAGTAATAGTTCATTGATTTATATGCTGCATTTTCATCAAACACATTGTGCCCAGAGGAGTTCACAGAACCGGCAACTGAAATACAATAACCATCATTAGCAAACACAGCTAACGTCCTAGACTGTAGGCTGCATGAACAGAAGAACGCAGATGACAGATTATGTTTTACATACCATCCACCCAATCTGGAGAAATGGCAGTACAAGAGCTGAAAAACAAAAAGCATCTGCACCACTGAAGTCAATGGGAATTTTGCCAACTAGCTAATAACTGAGATTATGTTCTGAGGGCTTATAGTCATGTTGTTTAATTTGCAGCAAGCTGTGTGATTTTAGCACATCAGCCAAAATATATTAGCTAGCATCAGAATGATGGCATTAATATTGCAGGCTCCATTCGGTGTAAACACATCAGTTCATTGAGATAAATTCTCCACATAAGGTAGCATAGCAGTAACCTAGATGATTGTTTAGGTATGTTTTAGCTGATGTTGGCTGATGCACCTTCAAAATTCACACACTCTAATCCTGTTGAATTCCTTACACAGATGAGACTTAAAAGCATATGAATTGCTGATCAGGGCTAAACTTCCCATCACTGCTGCTTCATCAAGTAACTTCATCCTGTTTTCCCAAGTGTGAGAGCCTTCCAGGAATTTATTTCCTCTTAATGACAATGAAGAAAAAAACCTGCACTGTGTTTCTCCTTTTGAAGTGAAAACAGCTGTGAAAATTCATTTGATCCAGATTGTTGCATGGACTGCTTTTGAAACTGTTTGCTTTTTTCTTTTGGTCTTTGCCTTGGTAACCCAGATTGCTAACATATCCAGGGACTGGAGGAATGCATATTAATCATAAAGAGCCCTGGAAGCTGCTCATGCAACTTTGGTGCTACACTT